AAAAAAAAAAGACAAAACTAGCATAGGCGCGAACATGCGACCCGCGGACTACTAGCGCGGCGCTTAGTCCGCTGCGCCACGCCGCCACTTCGAAAAACTTTCTTTTCGAATTGTACTTAAGTAGCACGCGAAAATTCAAACTGCGATTTCTCGCAAATGCTTGAGAGTTGCATCGTCTCCGAATAGCATTTGTTATTTCTATATGCGTACTACCATTCTGCAAAATTGCATCAAAATCGGTGACCCACAGGGTGTACACTCTCCTTGTGAGTGCAGGGATTGCAAATATGAAGGTCTCGAGTTCAAATCCCACTCATCACCTTAGGATTTTTTCCGGGTCCTTTCATCGAGTTAATCAGTTGATCGGCGAACTAAATCAGATCTCCAAAGATTAATTTGAGTGAAATCTNGAATTAATTAATTCCCCTTTCACAGAGCAATGTGTTATTGAATATATATTTGTCCGTTTTCGACATATTGTATTTTTGCTGAAATTTATGACGTGTTGTTTTCAACTTGTTGTCATGTTGCTCTTTATGTTAGTGATAAACCGTTGACAGCAAATATACAGCAAGTTGTCGGCAACACATGTTAAATACGTGTCATGTCAAACCAAAGACAAATGCCTGACTTACCTTGTTCTAAATTTGCTGTAAACTTAAGCGTTTTGTTTTCGGCAACATGACAGCAAAAACACAGACAGGTGCCAGGGTAATTAAAACAATTTTTGAGAACATAAAAGCGACCGCGCGTGCAGTTCATTTTTGCTGTGTTTGTATAAATATTATAAATATTATAAAAATATTTGTAATATAGCTTCGATAAATATTTATCTATCTACTGATTGTATATCTATTTACTAACCGAATTTCGTGAGTAGTGAGAATTTTGCTTGGATGGCGAGTTGGAGCTCGGCGAGTGATGAGCACTGTCATTAGGTGACTGATACAATAATTCTGATTTCTTAGGACTCGCAGCTCTCGTTTGCAGTGACTCCTTATATATTTCCGGATCTTCGTAGGTAAGTTTGTCCGGAATCACCGTAACGGTAGATTTTCTTCTTGCGCTTGATTTATCGTCCGTCGGCTGCACAAGAACATCGGAGCTGTTTCTGTTGCTGCTCTCATTCAGTTCGTTATGATTTGAGTGTCGCAAAATTGATCCGATTCTACTTGTCGGCTTCGTATCATATTCGCTATTCCATTCCTTTGACGCTTCATCCACAGTCGGCACCGTTTTGACCGGATATTCTATTTTGTTGGTATTCAGTGGTATCTAAAATTATTTATGTAAAATTATATAAATAAAATTATTTAATTCAAAACAAACTAGCGATAAAAGTAATATCAAATAAAAAAAGTTAACTTGTGAGAAATTCTGCAAATATATTTTAATAGTCAAAAACACTTACGAAGAACGAGTCGACGTCGTCCTTCGGGTGATTTGCCGTTTGTTGCGTGATAACGTCAAACGCCGGATTGTCACCATCTCGGCTTCGTGGAGTCGACGATTCGCTGTTGTCATTACCGTTGTAATCTCGTTGTAAAGCCGCCTCCCGATTCTCCGCATTCTGCTGATCGTTTCTGGAAACGTCCGACGACGAACTGCTCGCGCTCTTAGAACATTCGCGTGCGCGCTCGCCGACTGAGAACGAACGCAGAAATTCTAAGAATTCAGACAATCATCATCCGTGATTGTTTCGCGTACAATTTAAAACACATTTCTATATAATTTCTTAAAATAGAATAGAAACAATTTTCAAGAGAATTTATTATCACAAATTGTGTGTTTTTGCGTAAATTAGCGTAAATACTTTTTTATCTAATTTGATATTTTGTTACAATGTGAGACGTGGATGTGCTATCGATCTAGCTTTTCGTACAGCAACGCACAAGTTTCGATCGTATACTTAACTTGACCAGCGAAATATTGATTACCGGTGTGTTTAAGCTCTATATATGCACGCACGAGGTGAAGAACCTCTCGCTCCATTTTGTTACATCCACAGAGATATGCACGAGCCAAAAGCAACATTATATAATTTGTTTAACATTATGCGCATCATCGTGCATTTTTACTTTAACGCTAAAGCTTCATCTTAATTTTACGATACGATGAAACGCAAAATTCATATATTTAGACAACGCGCCAATTCTCCAGTGAGCTGTATAGTAAAAATATATTAACGTTTCTGAACAATTCTAAGTATTATTTATTGCAAAATCAACGTGTTTAATATTTGTGAAAAAATGTTAGATATTGAGATTAAAAACTGAGTATACTTATACATATATTGAAATATATTTTATAATATGTATATACAAGTATGTTTTAACAGTAAATATTTAATTTTTATTTCAATAAAGCTAATTAAAATAAAAACTTAAGTATTAAGAAAACGATCTTTTCTAAAGAAAATTATTTATGTACATATATACCTTGATACCGCGATTCCTCCTTGTTCACGGTATGTACGTGGTATGTCTCCGGTGAGAAGTGGCGTTTGTTCTGTGTGTTGTATTCTTCTTCATTCACCGCCGATGTTTTATCGCTGTGATATAGAAATAGAAAATTGACTAGGATCAGAGAAAGTTGTGTTTTGCAAACTTTTACAACCAATTCACATCGTGCGGCGCATGTTAATGTGTTAGTGACGACGCACATCTTACGCGTACATACTGTGCGGTATATTTTCATATACACTTTTACATAGTTGAACATAGGTCTTATTATTATTATTCCGTAGCTGCATAGCTACATCGGTTCCGGAATCGCGAAGCAGCTATGCACGGAGATATAAATAAAACAGCGCAAAGATGTCACGCTTGATGAGGAAGGCTAAGCGTGTCTTTATATGTTTGACCATATTAAATTATGCACAGAATATAACTTTTATACCTGTTGATCTTAATTAGTAACGATTTAAATTCAAGAAAATTCTTAAAATTTAATACAAAATATATTATCATTATTGTTGCGTTTTTTAAAGCATTCTTTGCAGTTTTTACTATTTTTTATATAGTGTATCTTATATATAATTCAAGTCTCCTTCATTAATAACAAAATTTAACAAACTCTTTGTGATTGACAGCTCGCCCTTGTGTGATCTTGTTTGTAATACTAAAATTATTTTTTATGAATCGTGCAATCATGTTTTTGTCTTCGCAAAAATCGTTATAAATCGATAAACAACGTACACCGTATCGCTGTTTCGACTCAGTCTCAAGGCGATGACCGGTGTAGTCGTCGAAGTAATGACAGTCGAGACGGATACTCTATCGTTTTCATCATCATTATCATCGTTGCCGATGTCGACGGATTTCCTGCACCGGAACATACACGGGCAGCAACGGAAAATGGCGTTCGCAATCTTGCGCTCGGTAGATTTGTTTGCCGATATTTCATCGACGACAACGCCATTCTCTTCTTTTATCTCACTTGGCCACGTGCAAGCTCTGAAGACCATACTCTTTCTTCTTTTTTTTTCATTAATCTCGAAAATTTTCAGCGACAGTCACAAAATATATCTCACCAGTGGAACCGATTCTCGAATGCTGTCGCGTCATAGTTTCCACGAATTATTTCTTACGATAGATGTACGTATAACGTCCTATTTTATTGAAAATTATCTACTGTTGGACTTCTTGCATTACAATTGACTAATACTTTTTAAATAGAAGGGATAATTGCTGCTATTAAACAGTTTATAGGCCAATCTCTTAATAACTTAATTATTCGGTTGAAGTAAGATATATTATTTTCTTATGTGTATTTTGAAAAACTATTGAGAAAAAAATTAGAATGTTCTATTCGCGCTAAGTATGTAGCCTGTTGAGCTTTTAATTTTGTCCAGTTTAATATTTTCCTCTCTATTTCGTTTTTTGGATTGAAACATAAACGTACATTTAATTATTGACATTTAATGGCACAAGAATAATATTTTAAAAGAGGTCAATCGTTGCCACATATCGAACATGCCTTGACCTTTTAAAAAATCGTAGGATTAAAGAGAATTAAGCAAGCGCAAGCACATCAAAGAATTAATCGATAACAATTTCAAACGTTGATAAAAACCGCTACCATCAGATCGTTGCGTTGCAAAACGTGCAAAACGCAAAAATTGATGCGTCGGAATATCCGAACGGCAGAAACTCACGGAAGATCAAGCTGGAGATTAGTTATCGATCAGTTGTCCAAGAAATTCGTATTCTAACGTATTCGTATTTCTTCGAACGAGTGACGCATATTTATATCCGTTTTATTGTTTGTTATTCATATTATGTCAGTCTTTCTCTAGAAATCGACATTTTCCTTTTCATGCACATATAAACTTATAATTTTTACATTTCATGCTTTTGATATAAAATTTAAATTTCTTTTTTTTCTTTTTCCCTTGTTTGATGACCGAGTTTTATTTTTGTGTAATACTTCCACGATTTTAATATACTCATATGCAATAGTCGTCAAATTGCTATATACACCTACATACGGTCAAATTCGCAATTATTCTACGTCTGTCGCGTGCAAGTTCGTCGAATTAGTAACGATTCGATTGCGATTATTATGTTCATCACGCTATCATCTCGCACAGCTCAAAGTTTTCAAGAGCCTTGCGTAACACAATCCGTTCCACGTGTCACGAATGCGCACAATGTACTCGATGTACTTAAGAAAAAACGTGTTTCTCGCGTTCATCACCGCCGTCCAATTCAAGAGACCGGTCGGAGGTCGACAACTCTCATATACACAATTGCTTTACGACCGGTGTAACAATGTACGCGTAATTGTTCTTATATAAGTGAACAGACTTTGTCATTTTGCCCTTTCGCATTTTTCCGCGACGGATTCTCCAGGAAGAACCGGAAGAAGCAAAAAATGTAAACAAGGAGACATAATTGTGTATGAGAAACACCCGCTTGCGAGACAATCGACGACGTATGTACGACTGTGGCACGTAGTTGAGACGGCAAGCAAGCGTTCCCTCCCGACGCTGACCGCTCGCCACCCCACGTTACCCCACTGTGTCCACTGGTTTCCTCGCTTTTTACTGTGCTTCTGTAGTTTTGATTCAACTGTAGACGCGTGGAAAAAAAATAATACAACAAAATAATACAAAAAGTTATAAGAAATTGAAAAAAAGTATTGGATTGGACTTCCAAAATAATGAGATAAAAAGTGAGATAAAACACAATAAAGAGAAGGGAAGAAATGAGTGTGTGTGAAAGAAAACTTTAAAATATATATATATAAAATAATAAGGCAACAAAAATTAAATCTTTTCTTATCAAAGATATGAAAGTTTGAATTTGTATTTTGATATTGGTTGCAAACATTCTGCCGTTTTGTTTCCACGCTCGATGTTACTATTCTTTCCTTAATTACTTTATAAGACTATTAAGCCGAGTTTGACTCTAACTAATCCTTCTCGATCTATGGTAACGAAGGAAAAATTGTCAAATCACGATTCGGCTGAGACGTGGCTAAAGAAGATTAAAGAAAGTGTTAAACTGCACTTGTGTCTTTCTTTTATTTCCACATCATTTTTTTTGTCTTGAAAATACGTCTCACACAAATTTTTTATAGCTTCAGAAAATTTGTATTGTAAACATAATTTTTGTTGATTTAAGGGGAACAATGATTATTCAATGAATTGAATGATTATACACATGATTATATAATGTTCCTTTTTGCAAAAAAAATTGATTCTAAATGTCTGCGCGCTAAAATGTAATTTCTAATCTTATTGCTATGTCATGTAAACATATATGTATGAACTCTTTTACTGTGGATATTATGAAAGAAATTTAATATCGAAACTTCTGATTTTATGTAACGTTTTTGTTAATATCTCAGCGAATATCTTAAAAATAGACATATTGAATAGCAATCAGTAAGTGTACGTTAGTTTACGTTAGGCATAAAATATTCAGTACGGCGGAATGAACGATAGCGCGCGCGAAACACAGCAAGGTGTTTCGACAATCTAAAATAGTGCATCCCGCATGTGCAACATGCATAATTCTCGGTTGCGTCGTTAATGCATCGAACGCTATGAATTTCAAGCTGCGAATAATTATTACAAATTTCTGCACAAGAGACATACGATCAATTTCTTTCTGTTGTGCAACACGCGACACTTTTTTTTCGTGCGTCCAATAAAAATCGTGTAAAACAATACAAATCTTACTAGTTTCATTTTATCGACCAGCTAACTCGAGCGTTCGAAATCGCTCGCTTAATGTAACACGACTTTTGTGAATCTACGCGCGTTAAATATTAAGTATTCCTACACAATTTTGATAAAATCGGTGGGTTTTTTGAACAGAAATTCAAAGCTCCGATCGGATTTATTGGCATTAAAAATTGTCGACATGCAAAGAAAATTTTACCGACTTAAAATCCAGGTCTGCCGTTATCACCGATTTGAATCTTACCGCTTATGTTTAAGTGTGTTGAGAATAACGTATGTCACGAGATCTAGATTAAAAGAAATATGAGGTCGCGTACCTGTGGTGCGCGTTCGTATTATACAGTCTCACTGTTTATCTGAAAAATGTATCACAGCTTTGTAATTAACATAATTATCTTCAATGATCTCGTTTTCTTTAGTTATAAAAATTATCGCGCAAGTTGCATGCGGAGTGTCGTGTTTTAAATCTGTGTGTTTGGAATTTTAAACACAAATTTGTTAAGCCGCCGATGTCCCGAAGAAGTTTACGCATATCGTTTTATGTGATCGATACACTAATATCTTGCTAGTTGTTATTTTAGGACAAAATCGATCTTGTCTGGAATATTGCTTGAGCGTTTACAAAAAGACTTCAATTGACTTGCGTTAGAATGCGAATTTTATTTTGCGTTTTAGATTCGAAAAAAACGAGATACTCACATGTCATACATCGACGTAGCGTGAAATCTACTGGAAGCCAATTTGACGAACTGTTTTGATCGATGGAGTTGCGACGGAGACAACGATCGTAGTCTCCTGCGGTGAGGATCGGGGAAGTTTTCCGCGAAGAAATGACCGTTCTCTTGTGAATTCGACGAAACCATTTCGAGTCTCTGTTTCTTTAATTTTAAATTAAAATAAAATGGAAATTTACGTTTTTTAGAGATTTCTTATTTATATACATATTTCAAATATTGTATATGGTACATGGTCATATTCAAAATACACGTATATATTAATTTACATGAAATATACAATGTATAAATATTTAGTTTATTTTTAATTTTTTTAATAGTTTATTTATTTTAGCGATTTTAATTAGAAAACAAAATAGTCTTACCGAATATACGTTCCTATTGTCGTTTGCAGAAATTGGTGAACTTAAATCCTGAGATTCCTGATACATATAAGTCGGGGGATTTGCAGCAATTCGCAGTAATCGATATGCGTTTCTATCCGTAAGCTTCCTTTGCTGTTCATAAATCGAACTATATCTATAAACGCGGAAATCAATTAAATCGAAAAAAAGTGTTGTATATTCGAAATATGTGAATTTATAGAGAATTACGTTTCGACAAGCGTCGACTGCTGCATATTTCTAGACAACGATCGTTGACGTCCTATTGTGCAACTCGAATTTTCGGTTTTATCTGAAAAATTCTCACAGTCCACAAATTCACTGAGACGTACATTCGAATTGTCATCAGAAAATATTGTCTCCCTGCTTCCTATAATATCCTGCAAAAAAAAGCAATTTTACATGCTTCTAAAATTTTTATTCATATGTCTTTATATTACTCAAAGTATGATATGAAAAAAACTTACACTGTATTCCTTGCTTGTTGCTAAAGTATTCGTACAAATAGGTGGATAGCAATTACTGTAATGTGAATCAAATGTTTGATTCGATGACTGACTCTCTTCTAAATGAAGACGTTTTCGCCGTTGATATATAGCCGCATATGACCTACATACATTTAACAAGTTAATTAATTACTATTAAATTACTCTCAAATTATGTATAGAGTGTGTAAAAATATTAATAATGCTCACCCAGTATCCTGCTGTAAATTTATCCGATTCCTATTGCTATTTAATGCATTCTTTGTTTGCTTTTGTGAATCAAAATTGAAATTTTCCAGGTTGATAGATTTTTCACGATTTTGCAATATTATTTTGTAGCGTTCACGCATTGATAATATTGGAATTTTTGATTCTCCCTTGAAAATAGCACTTTCCTGCAAATCGTATATTTTTGCATTTTTTTTCTTTAATAATTACATATTATTATTAAAATTTTATATTTTTCAGTATGTACAGTTTATTAAAAAATAGATATATATAAATAAATATGTATAAATAAATGTCTGGATATATAACTAAAATTAATTTATGTTGTTTCATATGAATGTCACTTACCTTCTCTTTAGCAAGTTCATTAATATCCTTACGATTTCGCGTTTTCTGTTCGAAATAGTTGTTGGAAATTTCTTTACGAATCCTATAATCCGTCCTGACGGAGTCGTATAACTGATTTGATGGCGTATAAGATGATCGCAGTTGCTCTTCAAATTTCAAATTGCCATTCAAAGACACATCTAACAAAATCCGATTATTATTACACATCTCGCATAAAACTTATTCAATTATTTTAGAAATCGAGATTCATAAGTAATTTCATTTACCTGCAGTTAAATTTCGACCGTTCAGTCTTTTTATCTCGTGTTCAATGTCATTCTGTAACAATACGAAATACTCACTTGAATGTGATATTTGAGCTTCTGCACAAATTGCGCGATATTCTAATCTTTAGTATTTCTAATAAATATATTACACACATTTGGACGTAGCATAAAATCATTATAAATTTATATGAAAAATAAATGTTTACATCTAAAACGTTAAACAAAAAATCGAATTAACTTATTATTTTGAGAATATTTTGTGTTTTGTGCCACCATGCATCATCTGTATTTGACAAAACAAACAAATTCTAACGCCGCAAAATTTTATTTGGCTGTGTTCCAAATTCAGAGTACTAGAAATCTATAGTTCACGTTGTATATATTATACATTTTTAGTACTAACGGTGAATGTTTTGAAATATAATCTTTGTAAACCGGCGACATTTGCAGTAAAAGCATTTATTTATTTTCGAAAATAAAATCTGCATTGAAAATTTGTCAAAGATGTAAAAATAAAGATATAAAAATGCAAATAATGAAAAACTTATGTTATTAAATCACGCAGAGAATACCGCCTCTCTCCCTTCCGTGTTTTTAATGCCCCTTACTTTATTCACACGTGCAGAATAATTATGAATAATTATGCTCGCAGAGATATGCAAAATAAAGAGAAAAGATGTATCATTCTGTTCCTACTTTGGTATTTGCTATTTTGGCATTTGCATTGCAAAGCTGATATCTTGATGAATGAACAACAATGATATCAAGAAAATAATATACGGTAACGTTATACTTATGAGAGAAATCAATACTACTTTTCATGTAT